GTTCTAGCTAGGTCATCAAAGTAACACAAGCTAGGCGATTTATTACCCATGGTTGACAAAGGACAGATATCAAGTAAACATGGCACAAGCGAGCAGATAGGTAAAACCCTGACCCCATGTAATTAGCAAAACATGCATATTTATTTGCAAACAGTAAAACATTTGTAAATTGGGATCAACATGCTCAAGGGGAATGTGTGACTTGCCTTGCTTCTTCACTTGGATCTTCTGAACTCTTATCCTTGCGAACGCGATCTTCCGAAACGACGGGAACTACACGCTGGCACGCAAAACGAGAAAAAACTCTAATAAAAACCAAGAAAACAGTACATAAAAACTAAACAAACATGTAGAGCTCAATTTTAGATGAATTTTGCAAGTGGAATGGCTCAATTCGGAGTTCGAATGAATTAGGTATGAATTTTAGAAGTTTTAAGCCATTTAAATGAATTTCTAGAATTAAACTCGATTTATTGCGCAATTATTATTTATTTTTACAAAGGAAATGGTCATCGCTGACGTCAGCAAGGGGTGAGGCGCGGACCACGTCCACAAAGGGGGCAGGCCCCACACGTCAGCGGCACGGCCCACCGTGGACCGAGTCCACGGTGGCGATCGGCCACGCGGCCGCGCACCCGACGGTCTAGATCGGCCAAGGCCGATCGGACGGCTGGGGACGGCCGGGCGGCGCGGCCTGGCCAGCGCGCACACAAGGCTGGCGGCGGCGGCGGCCGGGACCAAAGCGACGGCGGCACACAGGCCGGGCGTCGCAGGGAGCGGCGGCGCGCAGCGCGGGAAGCGGCGAGAGGAAACGGGGGCAGTGAGGGAGAGGGAGGTGGTGGAGCTCACCGAGGGGCACGGCGACGGCGAGAGCAGCCGGCGGAGGGAGGCGGCGGCGCTCCACAGGTCGACAAGGAGGAGGGGCTCCCAGCGGCGAAAGGCGGCGACCGGGCGGCGGATGGGGAAGAGCGGGACGCGGCGAAGCCGGCGATGCAGCCGATGCGTCGCAGCGGCAGCCGGGGTGAAGGCGAACGGCGATCGGAGGCGGAAAAAGGCGGCCGGTAGGGTGGTATGGCGGGGAGGTGGTTCAGGTGGTGGAGGGGAAAAAGGGATCGGTGGCCGGGCTTGCCCGCGCGGCGGCGAAGCCGGCTGCGGTGGTGGCAGGGCGCGGGATCGGCTCAGGCGGCGACGACATGCGACTCGGGTGCATGGTGGAAGGGGAGTTTCGGCGGAGGTTTGTGCAAATGGAGCGGTGGCGGATGTGCGGCGAGGCATGGCGAAGCCGGTGGTGTAAGCGGCGCAGCGCGGCGGTGGCTACGGCAACGGCGGCGTGCAGCCGGAGCTCGCCGGAAAGCAGCGGAGCGCGGGCTCGCGCGAGGAACACGGGAGAGGTAACGAGGAGCTCGGGGAGGAGAGGGAAACGGAAGAGGAGAGCACGAGGGTGCTTTTTATAGGCTCGGGGAGGAGAAATCGTGGCCGGACGTGGCGGATTTGAAGCGGCAACGGCCGGCGACGTGGGCGACATCGTGGGCGAAGTGGGGCTCGATTTGGCGCCAAAAATTGGGGAAAAGTGGGGGATTTGGTGGAGGAGGTGGAGGGGAACCGATTTTATGCGGTTTGGGCGCGAGGGCGCGAGCGGGAGGAGCCGGAATCGGCGGCGACGTGGGTGGCAATGGCGGCAATGGCGGTTTCGGCTCTAGAGGCCGAAGGTAGAGGAAGGACCTGACAGGTGGGGTCGTCGGGCCCACCTGTCGGGGAGGGAGAGAGGGAGGAGAGCCAGGGGGTTATTTAGACTTTGCGCGAGGGGAAGTTGATCGGACCAAAAAGGGAGGGGTCGGCCCGAGAGGGAGAAGGGAAAGAGAGAGGGGCGAGCGGGCCAAGGAGGGGAAAGGATCTTGGGCCGAAAGCGGCCCAAAGACAAAGAGGGGAAAATTTTATTTGTTTTCTTTTTATTTTAATTGATTAAATGAAATTTGTGCTATTAAAATTATTTCTCGAGCTCCGAAAATTCACGGAAAATTCCGGAGAGTATTTTAGGGCACAAAGAATATTACAAAATATTCCCGGCCAATGATTTTTAAGGGAAAATTTTAATTCTCCCATCAATTCATTCGAATAAATTGCTTTAACTTTTAATATAATTTCTAGAAATGCATTATTAATTGATTTTTAATCCCGAACGAAAATCGGGGCGTTACAGGCATGGCGCCTGGCGATGCTAATTGGGCCTTCTTTCCTCCTCTTATCTACATTGAGCTCGCTAACAAGATGAGAATGGCGAGGACGGCTGCTGAGCCATGGGCGTCGCCGTTCTTCATGTTCTCGACACGACATGTCGAGCCCTTAGGAGGTCCTGTATCCACCATGCCAATGGCTAGTTCCTCATGCCACCAAGAACGGTCAAGTGAGCACGACAACGGTTTTTCAAAGGTCTTCGGTTGAGAACATGAACTCGTTCATTTGCATTGAAGTCGGGTGTTACTGTCATGGTTATGTATACCACATACATAATAGTAGTTGACTAAGCTCGATAGGGCCCACCAAGTACCAAGTCTTATACGGAATTATATCTCGTATATAGAAGGAGATTCGGATAAGCAAGAACGAATAGAGTTCTATATGGAAACTATAAGGACTACTCGGATTGTATCCATATTAGTCTCTCTAGTTCTACTTAGATAAGGGGACACCTATGACTATAAATAGACCCCCTAGGAGGAGGGGGGGAGGAACAAAAAAAATCAAGACACGACATACAACAGATCGAGCCAACACACGCCAAGACAAGCTGCCGGATATCGATATCAGAGATAAGCCTAGACAAACTCAATATGGTGTCTACGGAGGCCAACAAAAGAGATTTAGCACTATCTCTGATCTCGCCGAGTGCGAATTCGAGGAGGAAGACTACTGCGTTGTCGACTACGTGATGGTATTTTAAGCCGCCAAATCGACAACGGTTACATAGGTTATTCCAAATATTGTACTGGTGCGATTATGATGAATAAGAGCAGCAATAGGAGTAGGGCTATTACTTATCAGATAAGAGGCCCGAACCTGTATAAAAATCCCTGTCTCCATCTCTTTTACCTTAATCTCGCATCCACCCTGGTACCAACGATCCCCATACCATGCAAATATTGTAGTCGTGACTTCAGACGTCGACAAGGGCCCGACGAGCTCCACCTCCACATTGCCACCATGGCTCCATCGAGCTCATCGCAATATGGTCACACTGCTCTGCACCCTATGCAGGATGCTTACCATGTGCTTTCAATCACCGGTTGTTGAGGACTAGGCAGCCATACTAGGTAGTTGCATAAGGAAGAGTTGGCAGGGATGCATGGTTGCCACTGCTTCCTCCACCATACCACCATAGCTGCCTTGGTGTAGCAAAGAGGAGGGGAAATATATTAAAGCGGGGGGAGAGGGGGAAAAGAGGGAAAATTAAATGAGGATTAGAGCAATTGACACCGTAATAGACTAATCGGACCTGAAAGAGAAAATATGATCTAGAGATTATGAAGTACTACCAAGTTTTTTTTTTCTCTAAATGTAAAGCGGTAAACAAAAAATCCAAGTAAACATAAGAGGAATGTGTATCATGTTTATACAACTCTCTACACGTGTAGTACTGATATGTACATCCAAGAATCTATGGGGTCCACATATCGTGAGAATACTGCACTCACCCCAGTCTTGGGGCCTGTTCACTTTGATAAAAAAAAAAACCTTACCAAAATTTGGCATACTTGCCAAAATTTTGGCAGGATTTCTTATATAGTCACCAAAATTTGACAGCAAACTAAATGTAGCCACTTTTTTGGTAACTTTACCAAAATTTGGTAATGTTGAAAATGGTATCAAAGTGAATAGGCCCTTTGATGCCATTTTCAACCTTACCAAATTTTTGGCATTGCCAAAATTTTGGTATAGTTGCCAAAATTTTGGTAGGATTTCTTATATAGTTACTAAAATTTAGCATCAAACTAAATGTAGTCACTTTTTTGGTAAATGTATCAAAATTTGGTAATGATGAAAATGGTAGCAAAATGAACAAGCCCATAGTACTGCATACAACCTTTTTTTTTTCAAAATACAATACAAGTACTCGTATACACATCCAAAAAGTTGAGATTCACGAATCTTGAAGTTACCATAGTTACCTTGCTTTTAGGTCTACATAGTATAGGTGCTTATATAAATGCTCGTACATTCACCCCTCATCCTACCTGTACAATAAACGCTAGCATACTCACCACTTACCTTATCCCTATTAGCACATCTAAAAATTAAATCTTGATATTGACAGAGTTATCATAGGCGTCTAGTTGTTGATGGAAACATCATTCTAGTACCATTTAAAAAATAAATTATCGTAAACATGTTAAATCTATTACTTAAATTCGGATGGACAAACACATTCCATCACCAGCAAGTTTGCAACCCCATGTTCCCAACTCCTCTTCCTCGTTTTCCACGCGCACGCTTTTCAAACTACTAAACGGTGTATTTTTTTAAAAAAAGTTTATATACGAAAGTTGCTTAAAAAATCAAATTAATCCATTTTTTTAAAAAAATACTAATACTTACTTAATAACGTGCTAATGGATCGCTATGTTTTTTGTGCGGGAGGGATTAGTTCCCATCCCTTCTATCCGAACACAGCCTAATACGCTTCTAACTGTTACTAGTATTTTGATATGACAACATCATGTGTTACCATCACATCAACTCTCGAACAGATCACTGAATAACTCAACCAGCAATGGACTTGTACACTTTTCATTTTGCATATAATATAACGCCGATAATGCTGGATCTTTCATAAAAAGGCAATGTGATATGATTCTAGAAAATCCAGGAGCGAAGCCACTGCCCGACAAAGCCTCGTCGGTTCCCTGAGCGTTTATGTTATTTTAGCTGTTTCCGTGTATCTATTAGCAGTTCCCGCTCGGTGCAAGCATCAAATTAAACTTGTGTGCATATGATCCCGCTTGTACCAACAAATATACGGTATTTCCTCGCAAAATGATACTACTTATACGGTAATATTACAAGCCTGTACGTAACTGTAAGCGTCCTGTACCTCCTAACCTCCACAACAACTGCCCTTGCTAGCCAAGATCGAAATCGAATGGACGGTGGACTACTGTGAGTAACCTACAAACTGAACAGACGAGCGGGCCCACCCGTCATCCTCTCACAGCACCAACGTCGGAAAATATCTCACGGCCATGGGCCATGGCCTGGCCCAAGGAGAGATTTTTTTACATAGGTCCAAAACAAGAAAGGAGATTTTTTACATGGGTATGTTACACTGGGCCCACAGCGGCTGGGGGAAGCGGGGGCCCACCTGCCCCGGTCACGCGATGACCACCGTCACGGCGGCGGCGGCGGGGGCGTCGACCTCGCTCCCCGGCCGCCGGCTGCCCGCGGCGGCGGCGGCGGCGGTTGGTTTGTGCTTGGTGGTGGCGCCGTGGAGGACGGAGCCCCGGCACGTGGGGCAGGAGTCGTGGGAGACGAGCCACGTGTCGACGCAGCGGACGTGGAAGCCATGGCCGCAGCGCGGCAGCACGCGCACCTTCTCGCCGTCCGCGAACTCGCCGAGGCAGATGGCGCAGACCTCCGCCGCGGCGGCGGGGCTCCCTCCACCACCTCCGCCGTACACCTCGATGGGGATGCTCCTGAGCGCGCGCTTCTTGAGCCCGCCGCCGGCGCCCGCCCCCTCCACGCCGCCGCCGGCGCCTTCCCCCGTCGCCGCCCGCCGCGCCCACCGGATGATGAGCCGCGCGAGCGAGTTGAGCCCGAGCGCGAACAGCAGCGCGAAGAGCAGCGCCGCGAGGATGATCACCATGTTGGTGTCGAAGCTGGCGTCGCTGCCCCCTCCCCCGCCGCTGCTCAGTGCGTGCTGCGCCTCCCCGGCGCTCCCCGGCGACGGCGAGGCCGGCGTCCCCATGTACCAGCTCATCGACTTCGTGTGCACCCCCATGGCCTCCCCCCAACTTACTAGAACTTAGAACAACACGCTAAGCTTCCCGGCAAATTATGCGCCGAATGTACAGGTCCAGGTCAGTGGAAAAGCTACTACTACTCACCAGTTATCTCGCTCGCGAACCAATCCGTAACACAAAAGGACGTGGACGTAGTAGCGACTGCCACTAGCTAATACAAAAAGGTGAAGCTTAACTGTTGCTAAACTGTACCGATCGATCGATTGATGGAGTGAGCTAGCCAAGTACCTTCTGTGATCTCTTTCCCACACGATCGAGCTGGATTAGTATTTCGGGAGATGAGATGAGGAGGAGGAGGAGAATCAACAACAGCAAGTGGAGTTGAGCCGTAGTAGTAGTAGCAGTAGACAGCGATCCGTCGCGAGATGCCACGAGAGATTTATAATGGGTGCAACACCAACACCGGCACACCGCACGGCGGCAGGTGGGGCCAGGCAGATGTGGGTGGGGTTCGGCTCCGGGTCACTTTACGGTGGGCCATCCAAAAGCGGAGGCCTCTCTCCTCTCGCGTGACAAATATCTTTGCCCCCGCTTTGGCGCTTTGCCAGTTGGCAGCGGCTCGCGACGGCCACGCGGTTGCTGGCTGTGCGGGTGGGCGGCAGGTGCGTTGCCACTTGCAAATGGATGGATGGACGGCCCACGCCGCCACGCGCGCGCGCGCGGATGGAGATGGAGATGAAACGAGACTCGGCGTGTGCCTACCTTGGAGCAGGTAGGCTTAGAGGAGGCAGAAAGCAGTACACGGCATTTGCGGTGCAGCTGGTAGGCTGTCACGTTTGCAAGCTTGGAGATGTATACAGGAGCCCAAGGATTCATTCCAGTGGTTATACCTCTCTAGTATGGGGCATGATCTTCTTGTCGGTCGGACAGGACAAGTTTTAGGGAGAGCCAGATATGATTAGCTTATATAAAGTACAGTTCAATTTGTTACTTAGTAACTCTCTCTTTTTTGGGGGGTTGGGAGGGAAGAAGGCCAGCAGATGCTGCGATGAGTGCTTTGAAGCTACTAGAAGTGTTCTCCTTTTCCGACAAAAGCCTCAATATTTGTTAAAAAGGTTAAAGGTTCAGTTATAAGCAGATCATATCGATATCAAGACAGCACAAAAGAAAGAGCAGTTTACTAGTATTTCTTTTTCAAAACAACATCAATATCTCAGGCAACTTACTTTTGCAACTGCGCGAGCGTGCATTAGCCTTTATTCATTTTGAGGGTGAAAGATATGCAAAAAAAAAAAAGAAGGAACAGGTGAGTTCTAGAGTCCTAGCCTGGTCTTTCGACCATTCCACTTATCAGAGAGGCAACGTGCATGCTTACCAGGACTCCGCTCGCCGCAGTTAATTAGCTAGCTTCGTTTTGGCCTTTTGGGAAGTAACAATCAATCGCTGGGTTCGTTTTGTCGAAGGTTAGATGCTAGCTAGGTTTAGATAGTAGTGCGCATGCATCAGTGTATCGGATCATGACACTAATGAGATCCGCAGCCAAATTAATTCGTCTAATCTAATATGTTTGGCCCCCATAAAGATCCACTAATAAGAAAAGTTCCCCCTTTAACCATAAAATCAGTATGCCGGTGACAGATCGTGTGTATAGGCTGGGCACTTTTCTGCAGGCAGAGATCGGACAAGGCCAGCTCAAAACCTTATCTCCTAATTAAATCCGACTGTCACAGTCCCGAATTAAAGCACTAATACAGAATGAGATGTTAACTAAGGCGTTAAGCATGCAGCTTGTTGTAGACTTGTAGTGCTCATCTAATCCCTGGATAAACAACACAAAAGCACCCGTGCAAAAAAACGGCAGTTCTTACAGCTTGATTCTCTGTGGTACTAGCTACAGATGGTTATCATAGCTATGTCTAATTAGGACAACAAATAGTTGGACTGAACAACAACACTTATATGCCCCATGAAACTACCAATTGCAATTTTGTTTTTAAACATATTTTTTATTTCGCGCGCACAAAAGAATAGCATGACAATATATTAGAAGGAAAAGAGTTTTTGTTACACAATGCAATCGGCCAGACAAGCTCACAAACCTATGCCAAGGGAAGGAAGAAAACGAAAAAACAAGAACCGCAACTAGGTAAAAGAAAGGTAAACTACTACGGATAAAAGCTACTCAAAGCTACGGGAGGGTGGAGGCGGAGCCACACTACATCCCCAAAAAATCTAGAAAAGTAGCAACACTAGCGGAAGACCACATGCGACCCTCCGAGAGGATGGACTCTAGAACCACGGAGACCGAGAAAAGTGCCGAGTCGAAAACTTTGAAGTCATGCTCCTTCCACAACTGACAAGAGACTAGGAGAACCAGAGAGTCGAAGCCGGTACAAAAATGCTAAGGTAAACAGGCCCTAGACGACGGCCACCAGACCGCTAGCGAGTTGTATATGTATTACTTTACCTGTAATGGGTTCTTTTGACTTAACTATTGTACAATTGAGTTATAATAAAGTGGGATTTACATATCAGTGACTTAATTGCATGTTCAGTTATGTTTAGTTTGAATTATGTTAGAGGATCTGCTCCTTACTTTACCTACGAAGGGTTTGAATTATGGTACTACAGATATTACATACATATGCACACTTGATAATATTTTAGTGAGGCTAGGGATTTATTGCCGGTCTTTGTCCATTTAAGTACGTGTAGAAGTGTGTGTACACGCGCATATATGTGTGCTGTGTGTTCAGTGTAATCGAAAAGAAAGGAAACAGAGGTTATTACTTTTGTTGCGCTAGCTTGAACTGGGCCATAAATTGAACTTCAAAGTTACCGTTTACCCCCGCTATACAGAGGATCCATTTCGGCCGTTCCAGCGTTTACCTAAACCCCAATTAAACATCACAAAAGCCTCATGCAGAAACGTGGGTTCTTGTCCCAGCTTAATTACAAAATACATATGCACCAAGACACGAAGTCATTAAGCAATATAATATTTAAGCCAGTGGCAAGATCAGCAACCTTTGTCATATGCAGAACTACAAATCCAACTAATTCACCACCGGCTCGTCCAGATGTACGCGTCGTATTGTTAGGGATTTAAAATTTCAAAGTTAAAAAGTCATCCGTGCACGGACGGTTCGACGATCCCCAGCTGTTGTTGCTACTGTCATTGTTGCACGAACGGTTAGACATGTCCACTTTGCCTCCTCTGACCCAGGCATAGATCGCTTTAGGATTTGCATTTTTTTTACTCCCATATCGCAGCTGGTTTTACGTGGATTTTGTGACATGGCATCAGCAATCCTTAACAACTACTCCTATTGACCAGATCATTGAAGAGCTGGAATTGCTCGTCATCAAGAGGCAAGTAAACAATCCCGATGAGCTAGGCACTGGATTATCCGGGATTTTATGTTAACGTTCAAGCTAATCGGGAAGCTAGAGCACGCATCAGCAATATGAGCTTTTTTTTCCTATCCATCTATCAACTCTAATCCAACCACCAATTTCGTGTTAATTTCATCAATTTGAGATGCATCTTCCCTTGATCGCAGAGTATCAGGTCTTAAGATCTGTACGGGATCAGAACAAATCCGAGCTCCTTATCCTCTATAGTACTCTTCAAGTGGCAAATGTATGGGACAAAAGATTAGGATGTATATGGACAGCGTCATTCACCATAATCAAATTTTCTTTTCACGTAATCATAATCAAATCTTGCCACTAACACGCTACAAAATGTCGGTTTCTGTAGTACTAGCATTGATGGAATCATCACAGTAGCTAGCTTTAGTTGCCGCCCACGTCCATCCCTGCACAAACATTCGCACCACCTCTCTAGTGCCTATATGGATTGCCGGTTTGGCGACAAATCTTCTTCTCCCCCATCTTCAGCCGTGGCTTCCTTCTATAGGGTTGCCGTTGATGATGTTGGTCATGGCGTCTAACTTTAGAACTCTTATCCCAACGGCTCATTGGATAACAAAAGAACGCACCGGAGGTGGATAGGATCGGAGGCTGAGTTATGCACGAATCTTTAAGTGAATTGGACCTTAAGGCTTATATTATAAGTGACTCCACTACATCGTATTACTGGTTTAACTTCAAAGTTAGCGTAGCTTAACTTGTTATGTTATTTATAATGGAATATGTTCACCAGAATTTAAATCATAAACTTAACATGTTGATGCTTGTATTTACGAAAGTTCTAAACTTGACACGTTATGCTCGTAATTATAAAAGTCTTAGACTTGACACTTAATATATGCTGGTCAGTCTCTCGATGATGCTTATAAGAGTAGGGTGTGCATGTGAATAGCCCTGCTTGTGTACAGTGTTTTTGAAATAAAAAAAATTATATGTACACCCTCGCTCTGCTTGGTTGTATTTCTTCTTGTTTTTTTTTTTAAAAAAAAAGAGCTACCTCAAGCTGTTGTTATGGCCGTAAGTAAAAGAAAATATGTAAGTGGTTTATAAGATACAAGGAAATTAAGGGGAGTTAATTTTAGAAAGTTGTAACTAATTTGTCAAAAATGTAGTTTGCTACAAGTTTAACTCATCATTTCAGAGAACCGCAACAATAGTGTAACATGGGAGTTCTTTAATAAAGCTGCGACTTTATTTGTCTCATAAATTTGAGCCCACATATCATCCAAATATGTAATACTCACATCGTTTTAAGTTGGCCTTACACGCCATACACATAGAGAATGTAGTTATAGTTTTCTAATAAAATCATTTGTTATTGTTATAATTTTGTGAAATACCCAATTAAAATTGTAGCAAAGTGATTAGTGATAGTTTGAACTAAACAACCATAGTTTTTCAAAATTTACTTAGGCCTTGTTTGGCCATTTCCCATGAAAAAAATATTAGATGGGATTAATTGAACAAAATCGTAAGGATAAATTAACGCCAGGAACATATGACCATTTGGCTGTGACAACTGACAACTAACGATGCCAGCGTGGCAGTTTTTCCGCTGAACATTTGCCATGACCACAACACTTACCGTGGACTTCTTCTGTAAACTTTGCATTTTCTTTTGGTCAGCGCGACAGCTAGACACCTGATCAGTGATTTCTGCCAAACTGATGCTCGCTGGCTGGCTAGAGTGACGGACGGTGTGAAAGATATTTGCGGTGGACCGGGGCCATCTTGGCTGTTTACCTCCACCGAAGGGTAAAGTGAAAATATCCGGTGCTGACACGGTAACACTAGGAGGCCTGGCAGCAAGTACGTATCCCTGGCCCGTTGTGTGCATGGCTCATTGGGCGTACTCCAACTCCTCGAGCTATCTCTCAAGTCTCACTCTCCGCATCGTTCTTCTATCTCTGATCAATCGTGTCATCTCTCGGAAGCTCAGTATCTTTTTAGCAAAACCTCAAAAGCCACTTGACAAGACTGCATTAGCATTAGCATTAGCGATGCCCGGCTGGCTGACGGAGGAAACAAAGGCAGCCGCCTGCTATTCGCCTAGTCTTCTTTGTCGAGTATCCTTTCGTTGCAGGCAGTAGAAGGTAGTACTAGTACTAGTACTATAGATTTACTAGCCGGCACACGCTGCAGAAACTTTTTGTACAACATGGGCCCTTTTCTTCATCACCATCATCGTCGTGTTCGACTGTTCGTGTTGTCATCGGCGGCATTGTTGCTGTCGGGTTCGAATTTGCAATCAACGGCACGCCTAGCAGGTGAGAAAAAAATTCGTCGGGTGATCTACACCGTTAAGCTTGTTGAAACGGACGGTGGAGAATTAGGCGCGATTCTCTGTGGCCGCAATCAACCAACGGAGCAAGGACAGATCGGCGAATCTCTACGGGCGTCGGCACACGGCGATCGTCGGCGCCGGGCCGCCGGTTTGGCATCGAGCAATGCTACTGCTTTACCATCCTGGCCACTGCTGCAAACCTGCCAGGCTGCCACACGCACGCGTAGGCAGTAGGCACGGAGAAGTGGGCCGTTTGGCCCCTTTTTTGGGCCGTTCTCTCAAAATTCGGCCTTTCAACTGAAACGAGACGGTCCTTTTGTACGGTGGATAGAAAGAGGCCGGAACTGGGCTTTCGAATTAAGCCCATATATTACCTCAGCAGCTCAGTGCATTGAGGGTGCTATAATATTTATCGGTAATCTACAACGATTTTGCTAAACATTTATTGATAAATTTTCTCCCAAAAATCAAAATTAAATACAATATAATTATAGTGTAATTATATTGTAACTTGTATGTAACTTTCATATAATTTTGAATAGTTAGATTTACTCAAAATTCATGCAAACGGCTAAGGGAAAAAATCACAAGGCATGCACGAGTGGGAGTATTCTACCCCCCCCCCCCAACCTCCACTTTATGAGAAAATTTATTGAAAAATATATAGATAGTTCACCTACAAAAGCCACAAGGAAAACGCTCTCGAATTTGTTCGCCATATCTCTTTAACTAACGAAAAGTGAAACACGAGGATTAACCACATCATCTGAAAAATATTAGCCGTCGGATTCACTGGGAGACAAAAGAGGGTCAATCAATCTTAACCATTGAATTAGATGGATGGGAAATTTCAAGAGGATTCCAGAATTGCATGAAGCTATACTGGAAAGAAAGACAGAAGGAAAAGAAAAGACCTAGAGAATAAGCAGGGGAAAAGATAAGGTGGTGCATATAATTTTGCTATACTGGAAAGAAAGACAGAAGGAAAAGAAAAGACCTAGAGAATAAGCAGGGGAAGAGATAAGGTGGTGCATATAATTTTTCGATATATGTATATATACATCTATAGTAAACATTGTTTATAAATAATATCCTCATCCTTGGGTAAGCTATTCATGATGCACTCAAAATGTATGGTTATGTGTGTATTTTTTTTTCATGGCTATAGCCTTAGAGCTATATATAGACTTGATATTTTTCCTACTATATCAATGGAAAACATTGCACTATATTTTAGTTGTTTCAAAAGAACGTGTTTGAGGAAGAAATCATTACAAGGATATGTACCCACATTCCTTCCAACCAGGCGGCCATGATCGCCTAGGTTTTTAGAATAATTTCATAATGGTTTTCACTGTATATAGGTTTAATGATTTTGCACAAATATTATAAAATACATATATAAAATATATGTGCACAGGCTATAAAACACACACCGATGGAAAATAATAGGATCTCATTACCATAGTAGGCTAGTTATTGATGAACGGATTATTTGTTCCATTTTCTGAAAATATATTTTCTCGAAGGACTTTATTCTACTTAAATTACTTTAAACAACTTGTGTTAAGCTGTTTTTTTAAGTTTATTTTTTATAATATTCACCCTTACAATCAACTAGATAATCCGTAACAATGATCGAGTGATAAGAGCGTGGTATTGCTAAATGATGGCGTTCGGAATGTCTTTTCCCGTGCATGTGAAGAGGGTTCATATGCATGTTCAGAAGTTCAGCTTGATACTATCACACACAGTACATACTGCAGATTTGCAGAACAATGGACGGTTGACACAGTTCACATGGAGAACATCAGGACCAAAGCTAGCACAGGCGTTACATAATAACACCACCTTATAAAGTGCACAATATAGCTCCACCATCGCCCAAGCGACACTATAGTAGGAACTGTGGAGACATACGATCCCTAAACTGCTAAACACCACAGAGGAAGAAAGGGATCGATTTTCGTAAAGCTTAACTAGCTAGCTTAATTTGATGGTACTAATGACATTTTATTCTCCTCTCGTACGGGAGGCGCGGGCACACACGTACGCATCAGGCCGGCCGCCCTAGTTTATCCTGCACAAAGAAAGAAATTAAATTTGTCTGTAAAAATTTTCTACTTCGTTTAATGAGAGTATGAGAGTGTTTATGCGTGCACGTACGCGTTGCAGTTGACGCTGGTGCTGATCTTGTAAGGGAGGGAGACGTTGCACTTGGAGGGGAGCGCGGCGGCGCGGGTGATGTAGGGGCCCCCGGAGGCGCCGTTGGCGACGTTCTTGAGGCAGCCGCAGATGGTGCGGCGATCGGGGGTGTTGTTGGCGGCGGCGAGCAGGCTCTGAATGCCGCCGCAGCACGCCCTGGGCACCGTGCCCCCCGCCTGCACGTACGGCAGGCACGGCATCAGCGTGTTGTACACCGCCGAGCACGAGATAGCCGCGCGCACCGCCGTCGGCGGCGCCACCACGGCCGCCACCAGCACCACCACCACCGCCAGCGTCGCGCACCTTGGAGCCATGTCAGCTAAGCTAGCTAGTCTCAGTCTTTGCTGCTGTGTACGTACGTTGTTGTGCTCTCTACAACCTACGTGAACACTGAAAGACAGCTGAAACGTGTGGATGGAATGGGGCTTCCTGGGGGTGTTTATATAGCGGAGGAAGCTTAGCTTGGATTTACTAAGGTTGTTGAGTGCATTTAGGGGAGGAGTTAAGAACGCGAGCTGGTAGCAGATGGCCGTGTGTGTGGTCAGAATTTGACTGAAATAGGAGGAGGGTTTTTTGGGGGATGCATTTTTACCAGACGTTTGATCGTTCTGATAATTCTGGACTCTGTGATGGTGTAGTCTGCAAGATGCACTTGCTGTTTGAGCTTTTTAACGTATGCCATGCTCGATTTGACAATTCGGTAGGATTAACCATACAACTTTTGACGGTGAAGCGATGATTAATTCATTTTTTTTATGAATGTGACAAGGAATTACACGTCATTCTATTAGAATAAGCAAAAGCAAGTTTTTACACGACACGGCAGCCGGACAACCATCGCCCGGGATTCGGGAACAGGAAAAGAAAGAGAAACTAGAAACGCTGGCTAAGAAACCAATAAGCTCCAGCAAAAGGAAGAGAAGCAAAAACAGCAAGCGAGAACTCACTATATGTAAGATTAAATCACAAGAACTAAACCAACCAGAGAGGAGTGAATGGTTGGTATACCCAAAAACAAAAAAAATTTAGCGAAAATAAAAGTTATCCTCGAAATCGATGGATCGCGGTCTGACCGAAGTAGTAGCGCCGGTCTGACCGCCTGGATATCGTCGGTCTGACCGAGGTTGTAACACCGGTCGAACCGCCGAGATCAATCGCCAGCTCCTGTCGCCGCCGCCGGTCTGACCGCCTCGCCTTAGCCGGTCTGACCGCCAGTAGGTCGCCGGTCTGACCGCCGGTGAGATGCCGGTTAGACCGCCGAAACCTGGTGAAACACAAATCGAAGAACTCTCAAAGTAGATGACAACTTTATTGCTTCTCTCTGTGTTTACAAAGTGCAACAACAGCATTCCTTACAAAAATCTTGACTAAACTCGAAACCCTAACTAAACTATCAACTCCACGCTTTGAAAAGCGATAAAAAAGCGATACCGGAAAGCCTCACGCTCCCCCTCTATTTATACATGAGGTAGGCAGCCTAAAGCCACGAACCAAACTCATACTAAGAGTCCTAAACACCTTACGAAACCCTCTAGTACAAGAAAGAAACTCAACATAACCAATCGTACCAAATTTGGACTCCTTCCAAATTCGACTCCGCATCCCATACGCACACAATACCTCCATCGTATGCCATATGGAATCTTCACCAACCACGTGCATCAACTCTAGTCTTAGTATCTCGTATGATATCTAACCACCACGGATATCGTCTTACCACTAAGCCGACTCCCGGTCCATCACCGCAAATACTCTCCCGAGGCATCGAGTCACCTATACATGAAACAAACAAAGAAACCATATTTCGAGACCAAGCTATCTCCAACTTAACTCATTCGTAGCAAACAACAGTATTATATACGTATAGTATCCATCTATAAGCCATAACCATGAAACAATCACGGATATCCAAAGAAACAACCCGAAACCGAAACCGACACAGCGTCGGCCGGTCAGACCGCGGGCAAGCCGGTCTGACCGCTCACATAGCTCCTGTCTGACCGGCAACAACCGCCCGGTCTGACCGGTCCCGACAAATCAGTAAACCCTATTCATCTCCTGAAAATTGATTATCTCCAAAACCACTTCGACGATAATCTCCAAATATCAAAACCGATAATCACATATGTCAATTGTTCATCACAGAATAAGAATCAAAACACACATTGATCTTACACTATAATCATGTTTTGTTAGATCAATATGGTTAGTGCAGATACTAATTGAGATCCGACGTGTTGCAAGAGACTATGGGTGTCGATGTATATCCTAATCCTATCGTGTGTCTAGCTCGGTTTTTTGCTACAATAATCAGATCGACGAACAAATTCTGCATGGACCGACGTATAGTCCTGCAGACTCCAGATTGTTCGGCCAATAATTCGAGACCGTCCAATATGACGCAGAATTGCACAGGTTCGTTCACCGACAGGCGACAGCGAGTCCGTAACGCGTGACTGTTGCATGGAGCCATGGAGTACCTCTGATTTAATGACTTGCCCCGGACGTGGCCTGCCTAAAGCCATTGCACCTCTGCGATCGAGCGTAAATGGCGGAGCTAGATGAGCTAGATGCTGGTCGATCGGGTTCATCAGATGCTGCTTCCTTACAGATTTAGATCTGCCAACACTTCTGACGACGGGGTTGCTGGCTCTGCTTGTGTAGGTGGCAAGGACGAATTTATGAAGCTATACGAGCAGCGGCCATGTGAGAGCCATCTGATTACATTTACAGCCGCTGCTGCCCCGGTCTGTGAGGCCAGCAGCAGGAGGCGTCAATGCGATAGCCGGCTAGCTAGCTAGCTCTCGCCTTTTATTTACTGCGTACGTCTCGATCGTATGCATGCAACATTGCAACATCGCGTCTCGTACATGCGCTGTATGAAGCAAGTTCTTGTTGCGATCAACAGGGGAAAGAAAATGGCCAATAGTGTGTGCATGCCTGTATGGTGCGTGCCGACTGTTGTTGATTACGTGGTAGCTGTTCATGGCAGTGGATAGAAGAAGTTTGTTGGCAGGTGAAAATTAAGTGCACGCGAACTACTCGCTACATTTTCCACTGATGTCTCTGCACCGTCATTCATTTCAGAATAGCGCGCGGCTATTCGGGGACCTGCTGTAAATTTTTCCTCTCCTTTTTTTGCTCACCAGATTTCTCCGGTGGTCAACAGGGTTTCCCAAACCGTTGGGGCTAGGGTTACCGTGCCCCGGCGGTAAGCACGGTTACCGCGCGGTAACCGCAAAAAACCGTACAAAACTGTGTAAAATTTATCAAAAATTCAAATTATTTTTTAAATTTATTTGAATTTAAAGAGGTTACCGCGGTATTTATATTACCGTACCCCCGCGGTAAGCCCGATAACCATGATAACCGCGCGGTTACCGACGGTAAGTCGAACCGACTGGTCACCACAAGATCAATGCAGTTTAATCAGTGCACTTCCTTACCATTCTCAGCCATTCCAAATTTCGATGATACCACCACGATAACACAACCTTACCATTTTTTATAATTCTAAAACTTTATAGTCTACAAATTTTTTTAACAAATTAGACTTTCTCAAAACTTATTTCAAAACTTGACCGTGTAAAAAAATTTCAACCAAAAAAAGACCATCAGTTCAACGCCAGGGACACTGGCCCTAAGGTTGTACATACCAACGCCAGCTACGTTGGCGTTGATCCCTTGCCCACATGGAGCCGAGGACAATCCCCTCGCCGACGTGGCAGGGTCTCAACGCCAACCTATCAAAAAAAAAAAGGGACAAAACTAGTCTCAACATTTAATAAGGTATTAAACTAAATACTACATATCTTCACCTTACCTTATCAAAATTTAACATTGCCAAAGTTTAGTAGGTTTTTATTTATAGTAAAGTGAAGAAGCCCTATAATTCAATAAACATGTATGCGAACTGCCAAACGTAGCAACAAGCAGCTGTTATGAACTTATGCCATGGTGCCGTGGACCGGTGGTGATGAAGGTAAAAGCATGTACACCAACATGTACATGAAGTTACCGACATGGAAATGGAATGAACTTTCACATGCACAATTTCACAGGTTGATGCTACAGCTGTTAACTTTTGAGGAAAGAACTAGACGAGCCCGGAGATAAAACTATAAAAGGGCTCTGTGAGCAATTTCGATGTAGCACAGATCCATGCCATGGACTCATGAAAGAATAAGTTCACTCCAGGTCCTTCAACTTGACGTCGAGTCTCTTAAACCACAATCTACTTCTACTTCTACTTCTACTTATATATATATCTCTACTTAAAAAGTAAAACTTGTTTCCGTCGTCCGTATGACCGTAAAGAAAAACACGTAGAAAAAAAACAGCGAGAAAAAGACTTCTGTCGAAAAAAAAATTCTGACTCCTATTATAAAAAAAACTTCCGACTCCCTTGAAAAAAAGGACTTCTCGTCCGTAATAAAAAAAATTCAAAAGAAGTCCGACTCAGGCTTAAGTTCGATCGGTAGTTTTAAAAACAGATTTTTAAGGCAAGTAACGATAAACCTCATTAGCACTCATTAGCACATACATGAGTACTACTTAAAAAATTAAAGATTTTTCCATCGTTCGTGATAAAACATATAAAAAGGCGAAAAAACATATAAAAAGAAAAAGAAAGGAAAGTCTGAGTCATCAATGACGCGGAGAAAAAAACCTCCGTTCGTGATAAAAAAAAGGGCGAATTTTTTGTTCTTCACGGAGAATCTAAAATAATCATCCAATCGGACAATTACACAAATCGAGAAACCTAAAAAAAGGGGAAAAAGAGAGGAAAAAAATCACACAGATGAGCAAGCTTGCCGTCAAATCCGGTTGTTCCGAGCTCGTCGCCATCGCCGCCGACCGCGCTCCTGTCGTGGCCTTGCCCGCTGGGCATGGCCACACTCGGCACATCCCAACCCGCGCTGGCACCCCCTCCCTCTACCCGGTGCCCCGCCCTCCGACGCTCTCCTCTTGCTTGGAGACAGAGGAGAGAAAGAGAGGTGGATGGCCATCGCCGAGGTCTCCGCGCCGTAGGCTCGTAGCCCCGCCATTGAGGCTGACGGGGAGAGAGGAAGGGGAAGGATGGTCGTCGCCGCCGTCGTCGTCGCTGTCGTACCCTTGCCGTCGCTGCACTGCGTCGAGCACTCACTGACATGTGCCATGCCGGCGAGACTGGAAGGAGAGGGGGAGAAGGAACGTCCCCGCCGGTGGGGGAAGGGGGAGTGTCGCCACCGATGGGGGAGGGGGAAGGGGAGTGGTGCTGCCAACGCCGTCGTTTGAGAAAGAGGGGGGGAGGGGAAATGATTTACGATTAGGGTTAGGGCTGCCGACGTTTTATATATGTTCGGATCAATCGGGACCGTCGATCAGATAGGACGGCTACGGCTTCTCCCACTCGGGCTGCTAACGCCACACAATTGGGCCATATGTACGCTCC